AGTAAAGGCTTCTAGAAATAGCCTACTACAGACATTTCATGAAGTAATAAATGTAAAAATAATCTTCATTGTATACATTAAATATAGATAATTTTTATTAAAGTTAATAAGTGATTCAGTCAAGAGCAGTGAGTGATTTTCTCCTTTTCTTTTGTTTGATTAACATTTGTGACGCAGTCGGCGGCTGCAGGTTTACGCTGTTGCTTTTAGATTTGACGCATACATGAAATATTTCGACACATCTGTATTTCTCCCAACTGTTCAAGTTCATGTAAGACAAAACCAACTGCATTTACATGAATGGTCTCCAAGACGGGCATTTTGACATAACTTTACGTGTAAGTGTAGCAATGACAGAACTTAAGTGAAAGAACTCGGCATTCGCACGCTGACTGAGAGGCGCGTTAAGCGGGATTTTTATACTTTCGCCTGGCTCTGCTCCGCAAGCCTCCGCTGAATACTTAAAAACACATGCAAATACTGAATATCACTTTCGTGATAATGCATTGAGTTTAGTGACATTTCAGTCAACTGTCCCTGGACTCGGTTGGACTCGGACATATTTTCCGAGTCCGAAAGACTTGAGTCCGAGTCAAGTCCAAGTAAAAATGCATCCGAATCCGTGACAAGTCCGAGTCCTTTAAAAAACTGTACTCGAGACCAGACTCGAGCCCGAGTACGAGTCCGAGTACCCCAACTCTAGATTGTATACTCAATTGTAGATGCACATGATTAAGTGATTCATTCACCCCAGCTTTCGTTCTGAGGACTGCCTTGTTATGCTTCTACTGTTTGTTTTTCAGGTCAGAATTTGAGTAATGGACAGTGGCACTCCATAGCCATCGAGGTCAAGGGTCAGAAGGTGTCTTTAACAGTCAACAACCAGAAGCCCGTCACTGTGGAAATCAGTGGGCTTATCCAGAACATGCAAAGAACAACCATCTTCATCGGAGGTATAGCATTAGAAATTGAAATAGCTAGTTTATCCTGATTCTTGGGAAGAATTTCTGGCTATATTCAAATGCAGGGATAGTAACTTATTTTGATCTGTCATCTACAAAGCTCAGTTCTGAACTACTGAACTGCAGGCAAAAAAGTGGTTATTACCAAAAACATTTTCCTGAATGCAAGGTACAATTTTCTTCTACCTTATTAACTCTAACCTCCATCAACTGAACGTTCCTCATATTCCTGAATAAAATTCAGGCTTGGCAAGCTGAGCGCATTCTCAGGGTCCATTTATTTCACATGCATGTTATTCCCAAATCTCCTGCTTTGTTCTCGAAGGGTTTTTTTCCCGTTTAGTTCATTCAGGCAGCTCTAACCACATTCAATTACTGTAGAGGATAAATGCATTTTCTTTAAAGCTGTTATTGAAATCTTTGACTCAAACATCCAATGTCTTAACTAAGACCTCTAAATCTCTCATTTTGCTTACTTCAGGGACAATGCAGTCCTGCTGAGATTTTATAAGCTGCTTTGCACGAATTTCTCAGAACAGAGATTTTTCTTTGTGCAACTTGGTATTAGTTGTGGATGATGTTTTTGATTTAAAAGACAGTAAATTGGGATTTTCCATTATTTTAGGCTGCCCTTTATTCCAGAGCGATTTCAATTGTGAAAACCCCAACAGAGGATATCAGGGCTGCCTTCGTCTCCTATTCATCAACAACCATCCAGTCGACGCACTTCAGATTCAGCAGGAAAGCCTGAGCAACTATAGTCAGATTAGCTTTGATGTTTGCAACATACAAGACAGGTCAGCTTTCCCCATTGATTTTCTTATGTTCACTCAGTTTTTTTTTTTTGGTGGTGATTCACTATCCATGTTTTGCAATATGTAGTGATCAAATATGTAATTTGGCTTATAACCAGGCCCAGATGGATTTGGCAGAATTTCTTGGCTTTTTGAAGTCAAGTCTGTTCTTTGGAATGTTAATGGAATAGTGGGTTAAACAAAGCTCAAACAAAGTGATACACTCTTATTTTTAGCTTGAAGTATAATCATATCAGTCAAAATATTTAATAATCAAACATGCAAGGAGCAGGGGATGTGTAGAAGTTGGTGAATGATGACCATTCCAATTCTTTGGATTGGATTCCATGTGGACAGACTCGTAATGTCTAAGCATAGTTTCAGTTTTTTATCTGCATTTGTCAGGTGATAATTATCTTAAACCCCTTATACTCAGAAAAGAGAAAAAATAATAGCACCTCTCCTCAATAAGCTGTGTGATTTGAGGTATTTTTTCATGTCTGTAGCACAAACGTGCAGGATAAGCTACATACAATAATAATAAAATCTGGGATGAATATGAGCAATAATATTCATTATTAGGCAATAGTTAGGCAATCACCGTTATTTAAAATCAGAAATTATCACTGCATTTTAATATGTTTATCCCAACAGGTGTTTGCCCAATCTGTGCGAACACGGTGGTCAATGCATCCAGTCATGGGACCAGTTTTACTGTGACTGTTCTGGAACAGGATACACGGGAGCCCCCTGCCACAACTGTGAGTTATGCAAAGCCCCAAAACAGCCTTCATGATTACTCAGATGTGAGCTGGATATCACTGTTTTGCAGTGTTTTGATGATAATATATGTACAGTACTTAGGTTTATTTCAGATATGCATTGTCAAAGTTATAATTTTCTATTTGCTAAAATTAATTATTTAAAAAAGAATTAAAGTGGCTAATTGTCATCTACAGGTGCCTACATTGTGTGGGAGAAAGTAGCCTACTAAATTTTACAATCAGATCTTTAATTGACTTCGACTTCAATTAAATTTTTATTATGTTTCAGTAAAGTTAGTGAGGTCGGTCTTTCCCCATATTTTTATTTTTATTATTCTTATAAACGGTATTCATTATTTTAAATGATACTTATTTGATTAGTCCAATGCTTCTTACTTTTTATTTTTAAATCATTAAGATTAATTAAAGTGTACATAATGTATCACTTGATAGCTGCAAGTCTACATGTCAAGTAACGATGATATGAAACTGTGTACTCACCAATTTATCCATTTAATTTTGCCATCTGTGTCTATGGTAGTATTTTGAGTAAGCTGTAATTATTTTCGGCAGATACATTTTTACGGTTCCTTGCTGTAATCAAATTTGTTGGATCAATATGTTCTAATCTGCCGCCACATGCACCGTTTTATCATACGCTCATGACTGTACATGTTCTCTGGAGGAGAGAGAGGCATGACAATGCCATCTGTTAGACTTATTGCATTAAAAGACCGAGAAATATGATATTTCGATTTTACAAGTCCTGCTGTGCAATTCACTGTCAGCAAAACAACACATGCAGCAAATGAGCTCACTCTACCGCACAGAGGATGTCTCTGTCATGACGAACAGGTCTCAAGTAAACAATAATTACCTCTGTTTGCTAAATGAACTGTTTGAAATGGTTATGCCATTGTTAGGAATATTAATTTAATATACGTAAGTGAACGAAGACTAGTTTGCATGTGTCTTTATGTGTGACTGATTTAACAGATATCTGCTATCAGTGCAGGCAGAATGCTCTGTCTAAATGATACAGCTGAATCATCAAACGTTGACATGTATAATTTATCTCATATGATTACACTTTAAACTTTAAGGCAACAAAATGTTCTTGATTTCACTTTTGTGTTTACCGCCTACAGGCTCAGTATCCCTGTGCCAAGCATGCTGATGTGCCAAAATGCAAACGTTCTGTAATTAAACACAACATAAAAACAGCAGCAGATTTATTTACATCATTTCTATGATTCATCATTTTCAGCAATATATGAGCGATCCTGTGAGGCCTTCAGGAAAACAGGAAGCCAGTCAAGTGTGTTTACAATCGACCTTGATGGGAGCGGACCTCTAGAGCACACTCAAGTCAACTGCACCATGGCAGGTGACTCACCCAAATATGCATACTCAGCTTGGCACGTTTCTAGACGTATTATACACTGATGTTCATCATCTTTCACATTATTGAATGATGAAGCTCAAAGCTCAGCACTTCTCATTTACAAATCTGATTCAGTGCATGGACAGGTGTGACCTCAGCATGTGTGGGGGACTGCCTGGAGAAATCACACATCTCATTAAGTGAGTTCAGCATCTCATGCGGCTGTCTAGTTCAGCAGGTTGAATCAGGGTTGGCCAACCTTCCTCTCAGGGAGTCTCCGGTGAGGCAGATTTTTTGCTCAGGCACCACACAAACATCCCTGATTCAGCTAGACTGGGTCCAGTGAAGTGGATGATGAGTGTTACCAAGACATCTAGATGGTGTGATATTGCTGGGGTTTAGATGTTTTGTATTATCCCAAGACCGTGGGGGAATAATATGAACTTACTGATAGCGCTTTTTTTTTCATTGATATATGACGGATTAATAGTTTTCCATCATTTCACCAAAATTTAAGCAATTACTCCTGCCACGATTGATAGACACTGTGGATGTGGTTATATTTGTGGTTTTAAAAAAAATTATTGTAATAAAAATCTGCCAGCTGTGGTTGTTTCATGTATTACAGAATTGCATATTAGTTCCTGTATATTTTACAGTTTATAACTGTATATTTCAATAAGTGATAATGTTAATATACCAAACTACCTGAACTACCAAAATCTACTTTTTACCTTAAAATGTACTGATAACTACCACAATAATACAGGTGGCACAATAGAAAGCCACATGTTGAATCAGATTGTAATTGGCCTGTCATACATACAACACAAAAATAATGCAATAACATTAACTAAAAAACAGAAAATATAACATAAAGCACACTGAAGTACTACTGATAACATAAATAGGAAAAAGAAACAAAACTATTAAAAAATATATTATAATCATATGTGATGACACGCATACTTTTAATGTGAATATATGGTAATCCGTAGGTTTTACTTAAAAAAATAATACATTTGACAGTATTTTACAAAAAATTAAGCTAATGTATATGGTAAGGTTAACTTATAGTTAACCAATAACAGTTTTTACTGTAGCATTTTTACAGTCTTTTTCTGTAAAAATCACTAGTATTTTTTGGACGTGACATCTAGAGTAATATACCAAACTACCTGAACTACCAAAATCTACTTTTTACCTTAAAATGTACTGATAACTACTTTATAATAAGCTCTTTATAACCAGTTTTGATAGTACTATAGCAAAATAAAGGGGGAAAAATGGTTTGCCACCTCACCAAGACATGTGGGGGCAAGCAAATGCATCTTCTATCACCAGGAACAATGCGTTTTCTCACATCTCCTGTCAGGTTTCATCACCAATTTCACCGACCTTGGTTTTTGGCTTCTGACATGACTCAGCATCAGATGCTGGGCTGATTTGTCTCTAAGATAAGACTGTAATACATTATATCATCATGCAGGGAAATTCAAGCCCCATTATGTCAGCAGCAGGGAGGAGTGCAGGTGAAAGAAGAAAAAAGTCAAGGAGCATGTCTCCCTGCAGAGACTGGCAGCGCGTACTAGCTGAGACTGATAGCTTCATTTTTCTTAGTTTCATAGGCAGCAGGCTTTGGCTCCGAGGTTATTGAAGCTGCAAGCCGAGCTGAGAAAAGTAAGCACCGGGAAACTGTCATACGCTGTGACCACCTGCTGCACGTTGGCACAGCTAAGCTGGCTTTATTTTACAAAGTTAGCTTTCATCGAGCTTTAGTCAGATTGCAAAGTTAGCTTTGTCACGGTGAATGCATTAAAAGATCCAGAGTCCCAATACAAATAGACCTTTTCTCTCAGACGACGCCAACAAGCACTGGCAAGAAAATCATTTGAAACTGACCTCAATTACAGGAGCTATTAACCATGCTAATTCTGCAAGACACCGCAGACCGGCACCTTTGGACATCACACACAGCAATTTCAATTTGCATAGTGAAAGGTACTAGCGTACACTACCATACTCTCGTCATTTTACACCCTCCTGAATGAGTGACCTTCAGTTCTCTGCTTAATATTCATCAGGTATTTGCATACGACTCCATCACTCTGTTAATCTCTCATTTTCATTCGCGAACACATACGGTCGATTGAGTGCAGGCTTGAGAGTGTTGATAACGATCCGAGTCAATGGGGATTTCAGTTTGTACTAGTTTTTCAAGCATGCTGTGTTTGTGTGTGTGTGTGTGTGTGTGTGTGTTTCTTGCACAGAAGATAAAGTTTGGACCGTAGTGGGGCACGATCACATGAGGATCATTGACATTCGAGGATCCACTCCACGCAGCCCTTTTGTTCTCATCTTCAGCTACACCATCTCGCCGTACCATCTCCGCTCGCTTGTGACCTCCTCGGAACACTGCCAACAGGAAGTGAAATATCGTTGCAGAAAGTCTCGGCTTTTTGACACCTGGGGTTGGTCATGCTTTATTACTCTAGTCTCTCTTATTGTTTTTGTGTACTGTAGCGCTAAAATGTTGTCTTTCTTATGAAGTGTGTGATTTATGTACCTCAGGAATTCTAATCCTCTAAATTTGACTAATATGTTCCAAAGGAACAAAAAAGTACCTCACAGCTAAATGATTCACAACAGCAGGTTATTACCACAGATATTAAAGGGGCTCAAGTGTGACATGACGACGATGTGCGGTGAATGATGATGTTCACTTAAAAAGCTGTTAGAATGTAATTCTTGTCATGCAGGGATGGTTATAGGACGTGATGAGAGCATTTGAATTGCAAAGGCATGCATAAAGCCTTAAAAAAAGATTATACACTGGTACGCTAAATTATTCCATGTGTTTTTTTTTCTCACACTGCTTTAATACTTTCGACTTTGCAGGCTTGATTTGCGTAGGCATTTAACTGAGTTGGAGTCAACTTATCCTCAAACACGTGGCTCACGTTTTGGGTTCATTTTGATTTGTTCAGAATGAGATCCAATAAAGCCTTTGAGCAAAAGATCAACCTTTGATCAAACATTGCTCAAATGGTGAACCTCCAGCACTAGACATCTTGCACTGCCGATTGCCGTTTGTCATTGGCTAAGCTCTTGGCCAGATCTCTGCACCACTGTGATAGCAGATGTCTGGTCATGCACATTGCAGGAATACTATAATGCCTGCTTGACTGACAGGGGTCTCAGAGCCCATTACTGACATCATGCATGACTAAATTACATTAGACTCCAAACAGTGTTGTCATTTTTTGCATAATTATTTACTGCTAGATAAGTAAAAAATATTCTTATCCTAGGGGCATTTTGTCCATTTTCAGATGGAACTCCTCTGTCATGGTGGCTGGATAGAGATGGAGTGAAACGAACATATTGGGGAGGATTTCTGCCTGGGGTCCAGCAGTGCTCTTGTAGTTTGGATGGCAACTGCAGGGACATGAATTATTTCTGCAACTGTGATGCAGACCAAGACACCTGGTAAATCTTAATTTCACAGTGAATCACGGTTGCCAGTTCTGTGTAACAAAACCAGCCCAATGGCCAGTCAAAAATAGCCTAATAATGACCCTAGCCCAAATATGAAAAAATGCATATTTTGCAGCCACTCTTATGTGTTATGCACAGTTTCAACTTAAAAATCATAATACAATATCATACAAAGTAATATCATAAACATAAACACAGTTTGTTTTTATAAAGGACCTCACAGCAGCTCAAAGGCTTCCTATAAGTACCCATCTCTCAGAATACCTAACATTTAGCACAGTTTATCATTGGTAGAATAGATATTATTTCAATACAAGCATTTCAGTCAGATATCATTTATTTAATGTGTCAAACCTTTAGCCCGTGGGGAAAAAAATCAAACTGTGGCATCCTTTTAAAAATAGCCCAATTTCCCACACACTTGGCACTCAGTGAGCAGTTTTTCCTACTTTGTAAGGTAATAGGATTGTTATTTTCTGATAGAACGAAAGAAATCTTAGGCAGATTTGAGAGTTTTAGTGAATTAAATGGCTGTATTGGAATCGTACTTTAAAACCCTTCATTAGTTTTTCTGTTAAAGTGACCTAGACACTGCAGAAAAAGCTTGATACTCGCCAAAGGGCGCAAGTATTACCGTTTTTTAAGCAACAAGTGAAGCATACACACTCCTTGGAGGGCAATCTTCTACCTCAGAGAGAGATTAAAAAGACTTTCTCCCAGCCTTTCGCTCATTACCTCTTCTCTTGCACATTCTCTCATTCTCTTTCTCCTCCTGCAGGGCAAATGATACTGGTGTGCTGTCTTACAAAGACCATTTACCCCTTAGTGAGATCGCCATTGGAGACACAAACCGGACAAACTCACAGGCCGAGCTCCAAATTGGACAGCTGCGTTGCTATGGCAACCGTAGGTGTTTTGTTTACCACATTTAAATAGGGAATGGGGGGTAATATGGCTCTCTACTGAATATATTTTCATATTTCAAAATGCAGAAGAGATGGACCCGTTTTTATCGAATTCAATGCAAAATTTGTTTTTCAACACATTGTGTGCTTTCTTGCCTGTCCCTCTGCTGCAGGATTTTTCTGGAACTCTGCATCTTTTTACCAGGAATCCTCCTATCTGCATTTCCCCACCCTGCAAGCTGAACTGAGCGTCGATATTTCACTCTTTTTCAAAACTAGTGCTCTCTCAGGAGTCTTCTTGGAGAATCTGGGTGTCAGAGACTTCATAAGGCTGGAACTTAGTTGTGAGTCATTGTTTAAATATTATTTGCCAAAAAGAAGAAAAAAAACCCTGTTGTTTTTATTATTATTTTTTTCCAAGAAAATATCTAAATTATAAATAGAAACTTACTTGAAGCAAAATTGCATAAGAAAAAGAACAGTTTTATATATAAAAATTACTATAATATTTTTTTTTTTATTTGATATTTTAATTGGAAAGCAAGACAGAAACATTTACATAATTGTTAATTTTAAGGATAATATATCCTTGAATATCCTGGTATTGTGTGCATCTGACCCGAAAATAGGGGTTTCAGCAAGTGCTTAGAGACTCTTTCATTCAGTGAACTTTCAGTGAAATTCATTGTCATGTGATTTAAAACCACACAGTGTGAAATAAACTCTTTTTTTTTCTTTCTTTCTTTCTTTCTCAGCTCCCTATACAGTGAACTTGACTTTTGACCTAGGGGATGGACCAGTAATTATTACCGTTCAGGCACCTGTAGCCCTGAATGATCGTCAATGGCATTATATCCGTGCTGAACGAAATGTGAAAGAAGCTTCTCTACAGGTTGACTCTCTGCCACTGAAGCTAAATGAAGCACCATCTGAGAGACCCTACCGGCTTCAGCTCAGCAGTCAACTCTTTGTGGGTACGCAGACATGTAATCAAGCAAATGTCATTAATCATGATAAAATAACATTGAGTGTACTTTAGCTGGAGCTAAGAATACCCCAGGGAACAGAGAAAATTGAGATCATTTTAATAGAAAGTATCTGTGATCATATTTGTAAGTCAGGAACCATGGTGTTGCTAAATGTTACAGGGTTGAAGATCAGTGCAAAAATATCTTTACATCCAAGGCGTGACAGTGCAAGCATTTCACTTGCATTTTACTACCAATAGATGTGTGTGAACTGCAAAATGTATGTGTGCAAATAAATAGTAAGTCATTGAAGGTCTTTAAAAGACTTAAATTCAGTTTTATCAAATTTAAGGTCATAAAAAGTCATACAGTTTTAAACGGTATAACAATCTTAATTATTTTAGAGGTCTTGAATTTGGGGGCGGAAAAACAGGAATCATGTTACGGCCTAATTTGATTATTAAACATAATTGATCTGTGATTTAAATTAAATTAATGCGCAAACTGCACATTTCAAAGTAAAAATGTGGCATGCTCGATGGGCTCCTGGTTTCAAAGCAGTTTGCAGTCAGTGAATACAACACATTTATGCCCAGCTATTGCTTATGATTTTTAACTTTGATTTATATGATGCTTGTATGATGCTTATTTTATCTCCTTTATTTGTTTGAGTGAGCGGCTGGAAGTAGTAAAGACATTTCAAATAAGTGCCAGTGTAGTTTGGACTTGTTTATAATCAAAGTCCCACATTGCACAATAATCTGCATCTGGCTTTTAGTTTGTAAATTAATCACTTAATATAAATAATTCCATAATTATTAAATAAATACAGTTTGAACACAAAATATTTAAAAACCTAATGTACTTTTTGTATTCAAATAAATAATTTGCTTGTAAATATCTCTGTATGTGCCAAGCCCTCACACCACACCACATTATTTGCTGTCAGTATTCTTGTTTTATGCTAAGAAGAATAATTTTCAGTAAACTCTCTGTTAAAAACATGGTCAAAAATGTTATGCTGTCACTCACTTAAATACAGTGTCATAAGTAGATCATCAGAGCATGCATTTTACAAAAACTTTATAGAATATGAAGGCACAATAATTTAATGCCAGTAAAAGCAGGTAAAATGTTAACCTATAAAACCTATTCATGTGTAATGGTGATGAATAAGAACATGTACATTACAAAGATAATTAAGTAATGTTAATGGTTAAATATTAATATAAAATTTTTGTTTACACACTAAATAGAGTAAAACTATCAAATAATAATACTAAAATTCAGTTATGTCAATAGTTGGGACACACATAGCACATAAATGGAATCATTTTTCTAAGAATTACACTATTATGTACTTCAAAGGCCTTGGCTTTATAATTTGCCTATGACAATTAATCATTGTACTCTCCACATGAGGAGGAACAGCTTCTAGGCAGAGGGGCTTTCTGGGCTGCTTACGTGCCCTCATCATTAACGGGGTGACCCTTGACCTGTATGAACGTGCAAAGACCACCCCGGGGGTGAATTCAGGCTGCCCGGGTCACTGCACCAGCGACAGCGTCTGCCATAACGGAGGGAGATGTGTCGAAGAGAGGAGCAGTTACACCTGCGACTGCACACAGACAGCCTTCGACGGGCCACACTGCAGAACAGGTGAGGTTACGATGGCCTCAGGGCGAGCTTGCTTTCATAGGTCTTGTTGCACTAATCAAAAAAAGCTGAATGAAATAGTCACTCTGAACTTAAGCATGCCTCAGATGCTTGTAGTTCTCAAATGCCATAATGTTGGCATTCCTGACGGCGGAAGCATTTTTATTGGATTTACACTGTAAAGTCACACAATTAGATCAAAGCCTTCAGAGAGAAATTAAATCAGCACTCTATAGGAGATGATTTAATATCCTTTTAAGCCATGACTTGCCGTGAGCTGTTGGATATGGTATGAGTCTCACAATAGGAGACATTTGTACCAAAAAATGTGTTTAACATGAATGAAAGTCAACCCACTATAGCTTCTATGGAAATTTCTCAATTTCATCTGTTTTAGACAACTTTTCATGTTCTATTAGTTCAGGAGGGTCGGCCGCCGGTGGATGACAACATGCCCTTGATGGCGTATTCACCTTGAATTCCTTGAGGCTGGGCTGACAGGCCTTGGCAGAAAAGCTTTAACTGACAAATGGAATTTAATTACAGCGGCCATTCGTCTGCCTCATACCTATCCTGCAGCCTGTCAGTCAGATTAGTGATGTAATGGCTTTGTTTCTTTACAATGCGATGTCACGACGGGTCCGGTCAAGCCACGGCTGTTTACTGCTAACTAGAATAGATGACCAGAAAATGAGAAGAGACAGAAAGAATCAGTAGGACACCTCTCTGCCACGGTCTCAGCTGTGGTTGGGGAGGAAACAATACTAATGTTGTTGTTTTTCATAACTCTAATAATGACAGATGAGATGTAGAGTTCATTGCCTTTGCACGCAATCTGAATTTGCATAGAGATGATGATAATGTTCTCAGTGAAGTTCACCAGGGACTGCATTGTCTCTCCGTGTCCATCACAGCTCTAGCAGCTTCCTTTGAAAGTGGATCTTCAGTCCTGTACACTCTTCAGGAGCCATTTTCCGGAATACTGAATGAGGAAGCCAGAAGATCACCGGCCGGTTTCCATGACGCAGAAGTTACCAAATCTCAAGAGAAGGTGTCGTTTGGATTCTTGACTCATCATGTGCCAGCCTTGATCCTGACAGCTCACACTCTGGACCAGCACTATATGGCTGTTATGCTAACATCAAACGGTACCAAATCATACGTTATTCTTACATTTCCTTGTGGAATAGTCATAATTTGCTCACCCTGTTACAAACCATATCAAGCTTCAAAAAGAACAATACTTACTTATTTACTTATTTATTTATTTTATTTTTATTTTTTTCCTTTCTTCAGCTTAGTCTTTATCTTATTTCACTGAATAGAAAAGAGCAGCTACAATATTAGGTGTGGAGGGACATTAGGATGAGTAAAATAAATATAACAAATATATATATATATATATATATATATATATAGACACACACACACACGCACACATTTGAAATATAAATCTTTTGTAATTCTATAAATGTCTTTGCTGCCACTCTTGATCAATGTAATGCATCCCATCCCTGCTTAATAAAAAGTATTAATTTCTTTAAAAAATATATTAATTAAAGTACTGACCCCAAACTTCTGAACGGTAATATGTATACAATATCTGTCTTCCTTTGAGCTCTAGAAATTAAATTTTAGCTATGCAGGTTACATTTTTACAGAGTAGTGGAAATACATCAGTTTTTCCTTTAATCCTAAAAGGAGTTGAGGGAAAGAGGGGTTTTTTCCTTCAATTTCACACCCTGTACCTTTCTTGTTGGCATACACTCTTTCAACCTGGCACCTCAATATTCTTGAAATTCACACATATCCATTAAAGTGCATCATATGCACATATGCTTTTTCTCTCTGTTACACCCACATCCTTTACCTAAAGAGCACATGGCATCTAAATTGAAGGCTCTTGAAACCATTGTCTCTCATCTCCGTTTACAGTACTTTCACGTCTATGTTTTTCCAGTTAGTGGAAAAGAATTTGTCACCATCTCATCAAGGGAACACATGACTGGCTAAAATGTCTTGCACAGCAGATAGCAATACACATCAGTCTTGACATGGAAGGATAAAAAGGGAGAAAGGTGATAAGAAGAAAGAAGCACTGCCCTGAAATGCAGAAGAACAGAAGAAAAGTATGCTAAGGAAAGACATAAAAAGCAATGGATTAAAGTTAGGAAGCAAGCAAATAATATTAAAAAATATTACAGAAATGTGTGTCACTTTGAATTGACAGAGAATATTGACAATTATTCAGCTCAAATCAGTTCAATGCTGATTCAATCCAGATCAATTACAGAAGACAGTAGTGTCATGATTCAGCTCAATTCAAGTTTTGTTCTCATTATAGGGTTGTGCCGAAAGACGATAGTACCGTGTATTAACTATAGTTAGAGATATCGCCTGTTGCTGGCATCAAGACCATAATAATAATAATTATTATAATAATAATTATTATTATTATTATCAGGCTAGTATTATTATCTAATTAATTAAATTAAAACTTTGGCATATGTAAGTTTTTTTATGTTTTTATTACAAGTAAGAAGTGAAATAAGAAGTTTCTTATTTTAATCAAGACTTTAGATGATCAAAAATACAGTAAAAGCAGTAATATTGTGGAATATTTTTACAATTTAAAATTACTTTTTTTTATTATTATTTTAATATATTTTAAAATGTAATTTATTCCTATGTTGGCATTCTTGTGAATTTTTTGCAGTCATTACTCCAGTCTTCAGAGTCACATTATCCTTAAATCACTCGCTGATTAGCTGCTCAAGAAGCATTTCTTATCATTATTAATGTTAAAAAATAATTGTGCTGCTTAATATTTTTGTGAAAACTTATACATTTTTCAGGATTCTTTATTTGATCAAAATACAGTAAAAAAAAAAAAAAGAAATATTTAATGTCGGTTCACATTAATTTATGTAGTGCTCAGTACAGATTGTTTCAAAGCACTTTCACAGTGATAATGGGGAAAATAAGTGTTAATGTTGCTAAATTCACTAATTATGAAACTAATTCAAGTTCAGCTATAAAGCAGCTCTACAGAAGACAGAAGTGTCCTTATTGAGCTCAATTTAGTTCAGTGTTGATTCAGTTCAACTCAACTAAGTAACAGTGAAGATGTTGCAAAGTTCATCAATTATGAAACAAATTCCATTCAACTATAAAGCAGCTCCACAGAAGACAGTAGTGTCATTATCCAGCTCAATTCAGTTCAGTTTCTGTTCTCATTCAATACTCTGTGCAGTCAAATCGCTAATATTACTGAATATGAATTGTCTTTAAACCCAAACTGAGCATGCCAAAGGCGACAATGACTAAGAACCAAAACTCCATCAGGTGTCCTTGCATGCTGAATAATAAAAAAAAAAGAATAGGAAAAAAATTACTGACCCCAAATTTTTTGAAGACTTCATCTTACATTTTAACATGTTTTTAAAAGGTGCTTCGTTTCTTATGTGTAAAATTTTTTACTGAGGAGAGTACTTTTGTGTAAATAGAATTATTGCATGGCTCTTTGGAATAGTCGATT